GGCAGAGCGGGTGGCCGTGGGGTGACCACGGCACACGGTTCCTCTTCCCCTTTTCAGCTGCTGATGGAGAGTGTCCGGGCGCACGTGCGCTTGGGGACGTGTCGGTGGTTGGGGACATCCGGGCGCTGGGACCAACCCCGCCGTCGCCTGCAACACCTCCGCCCTTTTCCTGCTAAATCTGCCACTTTTGGGAACAGAGACATAGCACCCTTTTTTTTTTTTTTAATGCTCCTAGCAAGGTCCCTGAGCCCGGCGCTGCTGTGTTGTGCACCCCAAGGGGACCGGCAGCCTGGGGATATGGGGACCCTACGGCTCGTCTGGGTGCCCCCCCCCCCAATTCTTCATGGGTTCCCTGAGCTCCGGTCCTTGTGATGCTCCACCGTGCCCCATTAAATGGTTTAATTATCTTCAATTACCTGTGTAGCTCGTGGTCTGCTGGGAGCCCCGGGCAGGACACAGGGTGGCTGGTGCCGTTCCTGGGCTGGATCCGTCCCTCTGGCAGCAGCGAGGTGGCACCAGCCGAGCAGAGCCACGGTTCGTTATCTGTTAATGGCACGGACGGCCTCGGTAAGGGGTGTCGGTAGAACAGGGGCGGCTGTAAACATTAACCCAAAGGAGCTGTGTAAGGCTGGAGGTCCCCAGGGAAAGTCCCTGGAGCTCCCAAAGCCCTTGTCCCCAGAGCAGGGGTCCAAGGGACCAGGACCCTCAAGGACAGGTCCCCAGAGGCCATGTCCCCAGAGCAGGGGTCCCAAGGGACCAGGACCCTCAAGGACTGGTCCCCAGAGCCCACATCACTTTAGCCTAGGTCCCCAGAGTGGAAGTCGCCGAAGCCCAGGTCCCTCAAGTCCACGTCCCCAGGGTGGAGGTCCCCATAGCTTGTGTCCCTCAAGCCCTGGTCCCCAAAGACCCCATCCCCAGACTGAAGGTCCCCATATCCCATGTCCCTCAAGTTCTGGTCCCCAAAGCCCACGTCCCCAGACAGGAGGTCCCCATATCCCACGTTCCTCAAGCCCAGGTCCCCAAAGACCCCATCCCCAGACTGAAGGTCCCCATATCCCATGTCCCTCAAGTTCTGGTCCCCAAAGCCCACGTCCCCAGACAGGAGGTCCCCATATCCCACGTTCCTCAAGCCCAGGTCCCCACCAGGAGCTGCCACGGAGCCGGGCAGCCCAGGACACCCCCGGGACATGCTGGAAGAGGGGACAGGACAGAGAGGAGCTGTGACCAGCAGAACCACCTCATCCAGCTGTGGCGAGTCCCTCGGGGATATGGTGTGTGCCACCGACCGACCGCGGTGGCAGAACCCGGGGGAAGCGGGTATTTCCCCCACTTCTTGGTGCCCACAGGGTCCCACGGCTGAAGTACTTGGAAATTGGACAGCGGCTGCATCCCGGCTGGACATCCCAGCGGGGGGGGGGTCAAGGCTGCGCCCAGCACCCATCTCAAGGACACAAACAACTCAAAGGTCACTGGGAGCATCGCCCAGGCATTACTCACCCGCCACGGCAGCCGCTGCCAGGGGAGGGATGGGGCTGGCCCAGTCCCGGAAAGCCATAAGGATTTACAGGCAAATCCATATGGAGTCAGCTCCCGACCGGTCACCTGTGGAAGAGGGGCTGAGGGCCCGAGCTGCGGGACCCCCAGCTGAAGGTGTCCCGCTGCGGGGCTTCTGTCGGAGACCCCCAGCCGGTTGTGCGGGAGGAGCAGCCAGCATCCCTGTTCCCATCACTTTATTCATTTACATTATTACATTATTTCTGTTTTATAGAAATATACAAAATGCAAATACACACACACAAAAAAAACCTTTCCCAAAAAGGTATTTTGCTATAAAATACAATAAGTTAGCAATAAATAAGAGGGTTGTATAAATAAGTCTCTAAGCAGAGAAGAGATGATGCTCAGACATGGGGCGGGCTGCAGCCACGCAGGGACAGACCCACCCCGGACCGTTTGGGCTCTCTTGGGTGGGCAGGATCCACCTACCAAAAACCCCATGGTTTTAAATAAGGGAAGAGAGGGGGGAATAAGTTATTGTGGCCTGTGGAGGGGAGTTCACAACTGGGGGCTGAGCCAGATGGCGGAGCCGAGGCTGGCGTGGAGGCATTTTGAGCCACAGGGTCCGATTTTTGGGATGCTGGAGCTGCTGGGAGATGGGCAGGCTCTGCCCCATCCGAGCGGTGACGGGTCCCGGTCCGAACCGGAGGCGATGCCATCAGGCACAGTGGCACCTGGTGACCAGCATGTCCTCGAAGAGAGTGGAGACCAGCCTGCCCTCGCCGTCGTAGTGCATCAGCACCATGGGGTCGTAGCCGGCGGGGACGCAGCAGGGCGGTGGGGTGGCTTTGGAGAGGGAATGCATGCGGGCTTTGATCTGGGCGTGCATGCTGGCCGGCTTGTAGTTGTGGGGACAGGAACCTTCGCAGAACCTCATGTAGTAGCTGTTGGGGGCAATCACCCAGTCCGCCCAGCCGATGTCCTGGAAGGAGACCTTGAGCGACTTGAGGCAACACTTTCCGTCGCTCTTCCCACACTCCTCCTCCAGCCCCCGGGCTCTCCTGGCCCCCCGACCCGTGGTGGTCTCATGGGTTTCCACCTCCAGCACCAGCGTCTCACCCCCCGAGGTGGCCAGCAAGGCTGAGACGTCGGCCGTGAAAGCCAACTCCAGGCGCAACGTGTCCTCGGGACCGGCAGCCCAGGGCTGGACGGCCGCTGTGAGGTCCAGGCTCCGGGAATCACCGTCCAGCTCTTGGCTACGCAGGAGCTGCGGGGTCCCATGAGCCCCCCCCAGCATATAGATGCTGACCTGGGGGGGCACGGAGGCATCGGGTAGGGATGTGCCGGGGGATGCCAGCGACTCCTTGAAGAGCTTCAGCTCCGCCTGCACCACCCGGAGCTGTCGGTGGAAAGCCTCGGTGCGGGCGAGGAGGAGATGGTAGCGGTAGGGACCGCGGGGGTCCTGGTGTCCCTGGGGGTCCTGATGTCCCTGGGGGATGGCCGGCTGACGCAGCACTGCGGGGACAGGGAGGACAGCTATCGTTAGAGACGGCAATCCACCCCGCCAGCCAAGGCTCGTGACCAGCTCCTGTCCGGCAGCCAAACCGCCTTCTCCAGGGAATCACCCCAATCCCCAGGGATGCTGAGGCCAGGGAGATTTGGCCCCCCCATCCTCGTCCTCAGGTCACTTGGAACCCACCGTCTCCAGGGACCCCCAGCTGGAGGGTCTCACTGAGGAGTCCCAGGACCTGTCGGGGTGACCCCCACCCCACACCCTGGCTGTCCCCCCCCCCAGCCAAAGCAGCAGGAGCTGAGTATTTCCCTAAATCACCCCAGATCTGGATAAAACCCCAAAGTGGGGCTCAAGCTGGGGCTCGAGGGATGGCACCTCCGCTCCCCCCCACCCCATCTCGAACCCCGCTCCAAGCACCCACAGCTGCCGCTGCGCCGCTGATCAAAGCTTCCATCCCAAATTTCCTGGGTTTTGTGTTTTTAAGCAAAACCAGCTCGAACGGTGGCTCCTCCCCAGTGTCAGGGCAAAGGAAGCAGCCGGGATAAGGATGACCACGGTCACCGCGATTCATGCCCGGTCATGTCCCGGCACACACCGAGGCAGCTGGGACACATTGGGGGGACACACGTGTGTGTGCCGGGGGGGGACACGACGAGGGTCACAGGATGCGCGTGGATCCGCGGCCACTTACGTGTGGGGGTCAGGCGATGCAGGCGCCTGCTCCTGGGCACGGCTCCCTCCTCCTCCCGGCTCTGGTTTCCCGTCAGCTCGGCCACTTTCTGCTGGTACAACCGCTGCGCTCTCCGGATGCTCTCCTGGTCCAGCCGGTGCCGGACCACGGGGGGAGTGGGCATCCCCAACCGCTCCAGAATCCCCTTTTTGATGGCTTCCAGCTGGAGCTTGTCCTCGTCCCACGCGTGGGGCCTCAGCTCCACGCCGGTGAGAAGCAGCAGGAGCTGGAGGCAGCCGAGGGTGGCCCCGACATCCCTCAGGACCCTCGGCATCGCGCAGGCAGCCGGCGGTCCCGGGGGGATTTATTTGGAAAACCTCTTGTGTGAAGGCTGGACGTGCAGCTCCCAGCGATGCTGCCAGGGGAATGAATGAAGTGGACCAGACCTGAATTTATAGGAGCCGAACTTTGCCCGCCCTCCGTCCCCCCTCCCTGTCCCAGGCTGCCGGCGGGTGACGCCGGAGTAAACACCCAGCAGGAATCTCTCCTCTCCGCCTGGGATTTCGTACGGGAGCTCTGGCGGTGCTGGAGTTGGGTGATTTGCAAGCTGGTTTGCAGCTGTGGAGATGAAAAATATGTAATACTTTTTCTCAGACACAAACATTTCCCTTCCACCTCACGTTTTCCTCACGGATCGCTGTGCCAGCTCATGGCCGGGGGGGGATCCCCCTCACCTCCCCTGCCCCGTCGGTGAGGAGCAAGCGGCCGCAGGCAATACCCGGTGGCCTCGGAGGTGGCAGAGGGTGATGGAGAAAGGATGATGTGCAGGGCAGCACCATGGTGCAGCTTGTCCACCCCTGCATCCTCGGCTGCCTTCTCTGTCCTTCGCCTCGCGCCGGTCCCCGTTGGCACACGGGTCCCCGTTATGGCGTGGGACGGAGCCAGACATGCAGCCCGTTCCCTAAAACCCCTCGGAAGCAGAAGCAGAGCAGGGAAGCAGCGGCCAGGCAGCCCGGCTCGTGCCGGCACACTCACGGAGGAGGGAGCAGATCAGCACTGGACCTCGTCCTACCAAACCGATGCCGCAGCCCGGCTTGCGGCAGAGGCTCCCCCGTGCAGCCGATGACCGGTGTGGCCGGGGAACGGCTCTGCCCCGGGTCTGGTCCCTCCTGAAGCAATGGTGGCCTGGGTTACATCATCCCTGGGCGGCCCAAAGGCGGTCGGGATGGAGCTGGGCACGCCAGGCTGGCACGGATCCAGCGGGGCCACGTGCGGTGGGAAGTGCCGTGCCAGACCGGGGCTGCCCACGCACCGGGAAAGAGAAAAATCCAAGGTGGGAACAAGCCACCAAGGCCGGCACGGGACCACCTGTCTCTCGCCTTCTCCTAAGGGATGCTTTGACCAAAAAAGATGAGCGGAGGGATGAGAGACCCCCGGTCGGACGAGGCAACAGGCAGGTCCCCCCCCAGCGCTGGCCGGGGCAGGCAAGGCCGTTCCCAAATGTCCTGAAGTTGAGCCAAGCGCTGGTCTTTAACTGTGCTCCTGCTACAGGATGAACGTGCTTACAGTAATCCCCCGATTTCCAGCTGGTTATTCTCTGCTCCTCCTCGGGAGCCAGCTCCAGCGTTACTCCTGCCTTTCTCACCCGGTTTCTTGAGGGGTTGCCTGAGGCAAACCCGAGACCAGACGTTTCACCCTAAAACACGTGAAAGGAGAAGTTTGTCGGCACAAGCAGCGTCAAGTGAAGGGGATTGCCCCGGCTCCGGCTCCTCTGCCCTGCTCTGGATCCGTCCTTGCAGAGGGACGGATGAAGAAGGGGCAGGAGGAGCCCACCCAGAGACCTCGCACCATTTCACGCTGCCTTTCTCTGCCCAGAACCTCCAGCTTGGAAAAAAAACCCATGTGTGGCTCACAGGGAAACCTCAGGGTCAGGTTTATCTCGAGTGCTTTGTCCCATGTGGAGTTGGGCACCATTCTGCTTCTGCCAGGGGTGACACGGCCGGGCAGGGAAGACGCTCAGATGAGCCTCCCAACCCGAAGCATCTTCCCGCCGGGAGCTGGTCCAGGCACTGGCTCCTCAGTGGGTGCTTTCATTCCAGCCGGATCTGTGGGATCCTTAGGGAGTTCCTGGGAGCACCAAGCACCCCTGTGATCCCCTTCCCTGGGGATTTTATCAGCTGGGGTGACTGCAACCCTTCAGCCCTCCCCCAATTCAAGGAAGAAGGGAGACGGAGCATCACCCCAGGAGGACAACAAACCTCCAGGTAACACCCCGGGGCAGAACCATCATGCCACCCCATCTGCCCCAAACACCTCCAGGTCCCCAGCAGGCACCAGTCCAGCCACCAGCACCCTCCACCATCTGCAAGGTGCCAAACACGCTTGTCCAAAGCCGAATCGGAGCCGTGCAGCACGTCCGGGCGCAGGAAGAGGCCCTGACCCACCAGCAATCACATTGGCCGGTCCTTGAGCAAGACCCAGCAAACCCCTAAATCCTGCAGTTCTGCTTTTGCAATGAATTTTCTAACCATAGGCATGTTGTGTGGTACAAGCCCCATCCACGAGTGACGCACAGTGGCTCGCACTCGGAGAGCATCAAAGTTTGCCGAAGCCGGATGTTTTCTCCCAAAAGGCGCCAGCCGTGGAAGTCGGAGATTTACAGTCCAGCAACAGCCATAAAACTTGTGTTTTAAGAGCAGCAGTTGTGAATGCTGAGTGACCTGTTATGAAATGTCCCAGCGTGTCCTCACCAGCCTGCAAGATGCGATTGCACAGCCTCAGCCCCGTGCATAAACAGCATCCCACGTTTCCTCCGGTCCTTACTGGGCCGTTAGTCCATCATCTTTTGCATCAGAAGGTCCGATTTCTCCAACACCTCTTCCCAGCGGGATGCGGGTTCCTCTCCGGTTAATGCATCCTACATGCATCCCTTGGCAAGGTACAACCAGAGCGCAGCTCTCACCCATCTGGCACAGATCTGGAGTAGCGATTAACAGCAGCACTTGGCCACAGGATTGCTGGTGGCCGGGGACTCCTGGACCTTGGAGGGGCCAAGACAGGGGCTGAGGATGAGGAGGAGCTGATGCCCCGGTGCCGTCGCTCCTCTGCACACGCCGAGCAGGAGAGAAACAGAGTTTTGGTGATTAAAGCATCACATGGAGGCCAGCAGCTGGAAAAGCTGCTAGAAAGTTCAGGAAAAGCTCAGAGCGTGCACTGCTGAGCCTGGAAAGATATAAATAATCTTTGTGCCTTCTCTCCATCTCCAGACAAGAGGTGGTCAGCAGGGACTACAGTGGGGGACACGGCAGATGCTCGCTGCCACCCCCAGAGCCACCCGCGGCTCCCAGCTGAGCCAGCACCGGGGAAAGAAGCCACGTTGCAAACACTGAGATTAAACGCCAAAAGAAACAAGGGGAACACGAACATTAGTCACTTCCCCATGAAATGCAAGCTGGCTGCAGCCCTCAACTCGAACCAACTCGAGCAGGGCTCGGAGCGGGATCGGCGAAGCTCCCGGCACCGTGCCGGGCTGCAGGACGAGCCCCAAACCAGCCACGTGCAACCGGGGCTTCGTGGCCCCTCGAATGCAATTCCTTCTGCACTGTTGATGCGATCGTGGCTGGGGGGGCCGGCTCCGCTTTGCTCCCCCTGCAGCTCCCCCCAGCCCGGGTGGTGGGATGCTGATGGGGGCAAGCGCAGACGAGGGGGCTCCGAAGGGCTTCGATTCCCCGAAAAGCACAAAACTTCCCTGCGGCCGCTCGCCCGCCCGCACTTGCAGAAACCTCGGTTATTTTTGTAGTGTTCCTTATTGCAAGTGGCAGGAGGGGAAGTGCTGCCCTCCAGATTTTAGGTCTAGCAGTTCCCCGAGGCTGTTGAGCAAATGGCTCCTGAAAAGGCGCTGAGAGCCTCTGACAAAAGCTAGAGCCCCCTGAGAACCGGCGTGCACCAGCCCCAGGACCGACAGAGCGAGGTTACAGCATCCCATCCTGGAGAGCACCCCGCCGCAAGGCAAATGGCGTTGGACTGGGTGCTCCCCGTGACCTACGGGACCTCCTGTGTTCCCCAAAACCACTCAGGTTGAGCAAGTCAGATGCTGGAGGTGGGGGGATGGGACATTTCCTGCAAACTACCGCAAGCGAGTTAAATAATATTTCCCCATGGTATATTTTTCAGCTTAGAAGAGAAGAACGGCACGGCTTCCCGTATCTCTTGCCACTACGTGGAAGCTTCAAGCAGCCCTTAGGGCTTGGTCTCTAGGGAATTTGGTGGCTGGAGGCAGCTTCAGCGCTTCCAGGAGTAATTCAGGGTGAGAAAACCCTCGATGAAGGGAAGGAACACAGCCAGCCTCCGAGATGGTCCATCGGTCACATCACGGACAAGGTTTGTTCCATCCCATCTCATTTCAGGTCTGGAAATGGGCGCAGAGGGATGGGAGACGAGGGCTCTCCCTCCGCTTCCAGCGTGGGATGTTTGGGAAGCCGCATCCCGTGTTTTCCCAGCGCTGGCCACTGTCATGATGAATTGGCAGAGTGGAAGCTGTCTTGACCTTTAGACATTTCTAAATAAAAGACAAACAGGATGGATCAGGTGAGCAAAAAGCAGGTTTTGCCCCATCACGGTGGGAATCACATTTTTCTTCCTTTACAGCATCTGCCAAAAATGAGACTTCTGCCCCACTTGGACAAAGACATTTCTGCCTTGACTGCACCCGCGGTCAATTATTAACTTGAATTCCCAGCCCCCTCAGCCTGGGAAGTGCAAGAAATTACTCCAATCCAACTGTCAAAAATGGAACTCTTGCTTGAGAGATCTTCACTTGCCACCCCAGCCACCTTCCTTACAGCAATGCTTTCGGCACGAGGAAGTTCTCTGCTTGCAACAAGCATCTTTCCTGGAACGGACTCCCTGGACAGATGGATTTACAGGTAGGGTCTGTACTCTGGCTAGGATGCTTTACAGCTTGCAATGGTATTTCCCCTGCGGCAGACTTAAATCTGGTATAATGCCTTGAGAGCATCATCTGCACAAGCAGCAGGCAACGAGCTCAGCCTGGGCAGGATTGAAGTGATGGTTATTGAAAAGTAGCTTTAAAAAGAAGCTTTTCCATGGTGTGAGCCTCTCTCCGTTCAAAGGGGGATGCGTCTCGCCCCTCTGACATGCCGAAACAGCCCTTTGCCTCCATTTTTAGTGTAGATCCAGCAGGTACCCCCAGGCTGAGGCTTTTGGCAGCATCGTGCTCTCTCAGGACGGCAGCACTGAGCCCAGAAGTGAAGAAAAAGGCAGCAGCAGAAGGAAAGCTGCAGCTCTAACCAGGGGCCTGCCTTCGTGCAGGTT